TCTTGATCAAATGATCGAGAGTTGCTTCTGGATCCTTGATCAACTGATCAAGATCCGTCTCACACTGGTATGATCTCAAGCTGCTAGTCAGGTCTGACCCTTTTGTGCCCATCCCTTGGGGTTCATTGCCTGATGGGTGGTGGTAATCCCCTGCTACACAGTTCTTGTTTTGCAATTCCTTCATGGTATGAGATGAACATGGTATATTGTTACAAGTATCTACAGATACAACATAAGCATGAATATTCATGTCATAAGGCACACCATGATAAACCCCAGCTGATGAAGTAGAATTGCTAAGTTTTATGCTGGTGTCTCTTTTATTTCCTCGACCATTGTCAAGCTAGCAAGGTCTTCTTTCTCTATTTCTGCTAGGACAGCTCTGAGATGGGTTGCGAAAGTTGATGGTTTTTTCTTTAGGAATTTTAACCACTTCGACTTGTCAGGTGGGCACTTATTGTCCTGCCCCTGGTGTCTGGTGTGTCTGCAAGGAAGCATTGCTTTTCTCTTCTGATATGATCAATGTCCATAGGTTCACCTTCACCACTGTAGGTGAATCTGGTGGCACCCCTTCTGCCCTTTGAGCCACTCGAAGAGCCCCCTGCTGCTCTGGGCTTGAAGCCAGTGGTACCACTGGGATATCTCCCACTTTGTGCAATGTGAACTTGATAGTTCTCGTCCATCTGCAGGACTCTGCACCTCCACTCCCAGTAGGTGGTAGGCTGCATATTGTCTCCAGCCATAATAATCTGCTTGATATTTGGCCATATTGTGAGGGCGACAACTTCCTCCATTTCCTCTTCATTGTGGAAGCGCTTGGCTTCCACAGCCATCTGTTTAAATTTTTCAAAGAACTTGATAGCCGTTTTGAACTGCGCTTGCTGCAGTTTTTTCCATAGCATCTGTTTGATTTGGACCTCTGCTACTTCCTTGAAATGTGTTTGGACATTTTCTTGGAAGGTTGCCCAGGCAGGTACATGATGTCTTTCACTGTGTGGATCCTTATAGTGTCGTTGCTGATGGATCCACCAGTCCTTTGCATTTCCACCAAATAGTTGGGCTGCAAAGACTACTTGGTTCAGGCCGTACCCATGAGTTTCATTAAGTGTGAAATACTGAGAGAAGGTCTCAAAGTAGTATTCGCAGTCTGTGAAGAACCAATCCAAGTCACTGGCTTTCCCATAGAACTTGTCAGAGACTTGGATCAATACTGGCTTCACATTTGACCAGGGATTAGGTTGTCCATTGGCAATTGCCCAGCTGTCTGGTGGGTTGAGTGGCAAAGGGGGATTTGCAGAGTGAGGCAGTGATCAAAGATTTTGATTACTGCGAGGTGATGGTGGCTGTACTGGGGGTCAGGGTGGTATAGGTGGGGGTCCACCTCCACTGCCTCTGCCTCCAGGTCCTCCTGGGCCACTGCTACCTCCTCCTGGTGTGGCTGGTGCAGGTCCACCTCCACTTCCTGTTGGTACAGATTGAGAGGGGTCCCTGCCTATGCTATGGGTATGGAAGGTTCCTCCTTGTGCAGCTTGGATCCTCAGCATTGAAGAGGCTGGCTGTGGGCACCTGTGGAATAGTGAGCAGGCTAAAAGGCGAACCTCAAAAACCCACACACACACTCACACAACTACACAAACTATAAACACCCTCATAAGTTCTAGGGGGAGCGATTATTTCTAATGCGATCTGACTATACTTCAATATCTCGAAGAGTTTCTCTTATTCTCAGCGCTCTTAGCAAAGCTAAGCTTTCTCTAATGAATCCCTAAGTCTAGGAACTTTTACAGGAAGGTCATTCGCTGGCGCGACGCAACCTTCAAGGCAGATTTGAGTTAAAATACACAAGGGACACTGATCCCGACAGCAACAGAGGCAATACACACCAAAACAATAGTGAGCTCACTAAAGAAACACCACAGGCAAGCACTGACTTAGCCTGCTCGCTACACAACTGTATGTAGGGGTTCTCCAACTAACTTCAACAGATGATCTCGACTCAAGAACACTTCAGAAGTGTTCAGAAACAGATTCAGAAAATGGAAACTCGAAACAGAACTGATGCAGAACAGACTGAACAGAAACAGAACAGAACAGACAGAACAGAACAGAACAGATCTCGCTTTTCCTCTTCAGAACATACTCCAAACAGACTTATCAACACTCAATGGAACAGAACAGCTTCACTGATTCTTATCCTCTCAGAACTAAGTGCACAAAAAGTCTTTTCTCAAGGGTATCTTGTATTTCTCTGAGTGAGCTTGCTAATTCTATGCACAGCTCGAAGTCACAAACTGATCCTTTGTTACAGTACTGCCTTCAACGCGTGCACGGGAACTCGGGGGCTCGAAACTTGGCCTCTACCTACTGTAACCAGCCTACTTATACTACAGGGGAATTAGAATTACAAATGTCGTGCAGTACCCAGACTCCTACATGCATAGCATGTTGCCACCGCTGCCTTACTGAGCATCCGAGTCGGACTTCCCAGTTTTAGTCTCATTTCTATAGTGAGCTCGCTAAACGCGTGCCTAGAGGTGCTCTCCCGACACCCGCAGGCTTGTTCTCTAGCAACCAACAGGTCTAGGCACCCGGAACTATCAGTCCTGGCGTATGTTGTTCAAGACTTCTTTCTTGGATTCACAGAGGCTTCTCGTAGACATGGCAACAAGTGAGTCTTCTAACAATGGGACTCAGAACAATGGGACATGGGCTTGCGGACTTCAGCCGAAGCCCATTGCCCAAGTTCATGCTGGTGATAGCTGTCATCTCGCTTAAGGATTTCCCTGGATTTTCAGGTATGACGCGTCACAGTTAGCGAGCGTGCTAAGTATTCTCAGTGTCACTGCAATCTTCAAAATTTTATCTAGCTCCCATGAGCATGCTTGTAAGTTAGAGCCTAAGGCATTGGGTATAGGGTTTGGCCTTCTCATCATGCATGCCTGTCAGGTACAGTGCCATGACTAAGTCCTGTTTAGAATCCCATTGCTTCTTATGCCACAAGTTATATTCTATATCATTGCACCGTGTAGCATTAGTGTCAATGCATAGTTTTAGTCTGCTCACTCACTATATCTCAGTATGTGTGTAAAACACTTTAGATTGCAAAATTACACACATAAATACGCTGCAGTTGCAACAGCATGTTGGATGGTATCCATGCCGGGTCATGGATTGGGTTTTCTGGACCCACTATCTCTGGGGATCCTATGCTGGGAAAGGATTCCTCGCTATAGCGTCTTCCAGGCGCTACAGATTGATCAGGGTGTATTGTGTTCCAGTCAATGGCAGCATGATACCAGGTTTTGGTATGGAGGATTTTGTCCTCCATATCTGAACCTAAGGTTGCAGCATGATAAGCTCTTCCCCGGTTGAACACAACCCAAGTCATGCTATATCGTAGATGCTGACTTGTCCACTCCAACACTTGCTGCCATGTTAGATTATACATCTGTTGGTCCATAAGCTCCTGTGCTTGAACCCTGGATGAACTCAGGTGGGTCATCAGAGGGTTCTTGATCGGGTGGCTCATGATAGCCTCCTCACTAATTGATGACCATCCTGGCTTGCACCTAGGGGTCAGACCTGTTGTCATGGTCAGGTGGAAAGCCGATGACCTGATATCAGGAGAAGATCATATGTCCTGCATACCAGGTCTTGTTCCAGTCCCATATGCCTGTGATGTATCTGTAGTACTTATCCCAGATCTCCACAGTATCAGCTCATCCAAAGACCCAGAGCCATAACCCTGAGGGTGGGATGAAACCTCCATCATACTCCTCTGGTAAGAACTCTCCCTCCGGGCAGAGGAACAGCTTGAGCTCTGGGGCATCTCTTGCCCTATCATACTTGTCATCGGCCAAGGACCAGAGTTGTCAGCAGATGGCACAGTTACAGTAGGGATATGGATGGGGCTCAGTGCATTCAAGTTCCTCAGGGACATGGTTCAGGAGGATGATAGAGTCTGGAAGGGGTTGGTTTCCAGCAAACCAATTGAGGAGCCAGTCTCCTCTGGGGGTGTCGCCTGGGAAGATGACCCAATGGTCTTCATTGTAGGGGAATACAGAATGGGTGTAGTAGTCTGGGAGCTCCTCACTGTTGTTGTCAGAATATTCGGTGAAGGTGATGTAGTTGGGTCCATCGCCAACTGTGTCATTAATGAATGTTTCAGAGATGTGGGCAAAACGGGGTTCAGTGAAGTTTCTGAGGTTGGCAATGATAATGAAGTTTGGGAGAAGAACGTCAGATTTGGGTCGGGGAGAGGGCCAGATGAAATCTGACTCATGGATGGAGTCATTGTCCCACCATGAGGGAGGTCCAGCAATTCTGTAGGTTCCATCAGGGGTGGATGACCTGAGGTTGGGGCTGTAACCCAGTCTGACTCCGATGGTTCATCTCCTCAATGTCCCTCTTCGAAGGTGGTTTCTCATCCCCATGTTCTATCTGCTGTCCTCCAGTAGTTTCCTCTGGTTCTTGCACCAATGATTCAATTGAATACATCAATGTAGAACCTGCTGGTTCCTCTCTGATAGAGCTGCTCTCCATTGTCAAACCCTGGTATGGTCTCTGAGGGTCACCTGTGTTGGGGTAGTCTTCTCTGTTGGGTAGGGGGTATTGAAGTGCTCCTTGCTCCCTCCTTGGCCTTGGTGTGACAGACCTGAGCCTGATGGTGCTTCCTGTTCAGGATGTTCCTGTTGATGAGCCATTGAGTCCATCTACTCTCCCTCTTCCAGGAGTCAGTGCTCTTTGGCATCATTGTACCACAACGAATGTTTAGGATCTTGAGGTGCGATAGGTGCCATTTTATATATAACAGGCTGAAGTTTTGAAAAGTATAAAAGTGACTGCCTTGAAATGGTACAGTTACCATTGATGATGGTAAGGGTAGTAAGGGCAAGCTTCAGCTAAATGTTAAGCACTAACTCTAATCTGAACCAAAGCATGGCCTCTATCCTGTCACTCGCATTTGGTGATTCAGTGTTAGAGGGTCTTTGGCATAAGAAATGGACCTGGACCAGACCTCTCTCAGTCTGAGCATGAAGGCTCCAGGCTTCGAACCCTACCCTTCGATGAAGATGTCACCTCAATGGTCAACCATATCCCTTCAAACCAAATGGAAGAGAGTGGTGACCAAGGTGGCACAGAAGGTAGGACTCCCCTGGGGGAAGAAGACCTCAGCTGACTTGGCATCCCTGCAAATGACAAGTTGTCAATCTCTTCCTCACAACTATCGGCCACCATATTCGACACAACCGGAGAGCACCTCTATCAGTGAGGAACTCAAGGATTCTATGTCGACCTGGTTACCAGAAGAATCATCTCAGACAGAGGCAATGAGATATGCCTCATCAATTCAACAACAGGAGAAGATGTCACAGAAGACTACTTCTAACCAAACTATGAGCAGTATGTGGGAAGTGGAAGTGATGAGGAAAGCAGTAGAAGAGGCCCTTCCTCCTTTGCAGACCTCCACCCTGGAAACCCAATCTTTACTGAGAGGTACTGGACAGACAATACTGGATCCTGGGATGGGAACGATGAGGGAGACTCTGGAACTTCAAGTGGGGACAGTTCTTCACCTGGAGGAGACTCTTTCCTTCCTACCTGGGGACAGAGACTGGCTAGAGAGGCTAGAACAGATGAGGCAAGAAGAGAGGCTCAAAGACATGTGGAGGACGAGTCAGATGGTCCTTGGGTTACTGCCCCAACCTCCCCAAGGGAGGCCCTGGTCATTCTCGACCTCAGACTCACTGTACCAGGAACCCTGACCAGCTCCTCTGGAAGCACCATATCCTGGCATTCACGAGGGGGGTTTAGCCACAGCATAGGCTACTACTTAAATACAAGTTCAGTACATTAATAATAACTGTGCTACTATGATTCCATGATAGAGAATGAGTGTGACATGGCCAATAGCAATATGCCAGCAAAAGTGATACCCAATGGTGAGTGGCCAGCTAGATGAGGAAGGTTCTGGAGGAGTCATACCCTTGTGGCCAGAACTCCACCTGAGTAAGAATGTCTGAGCTCGTCCACCGCAAACCAGGGATCAAGTGATGTGGAAGTGACTGTTGATTGATCAGAACAAAGATACCGTGATGGAAGTATTTGTGTGATGTGGAAGTATTGGCATGGGTTACGAATGAGCCAGATAAAAGTGATGATGAGAATCAGATGACGATCAAGGAAGAATGACATGAAGCAAATGACTAAAGTGAAAAATAGGGGTGAATTTGTGACACTACTCCTGTCCAACCACTAAGAAGCATGATGCCATTAAGAGAAGCATGATAGTGCATGCAGTGCGTCAGTCATTTGAGATGTGGCAGTTGTGAACTGGGGTGATGGCAGCTGGATAAATGGGTAGGAGGTAAGCCAAAGAATTATTGTAGTTCTGGGAGATAAGATATGTTAGTCCGGGGTTTCAGGAGATAAGGATAAGATAAGATAAGGATGTAAGGTAGCGGCAGTGAGCACCGGGTCCCCGATTCTTTCTCACGGTTGAGAGTGTCCTCAGTGGAACGAATTTCAGTACGATTTGTAATGGTGTGCCCTATATGTACATCTGAAGGTATAGCTTTGTACTGTGTGTGATATAATACATGAACTTTCGCACTGAACCTAAGCGTTACTGGTTTGAATGAGATTTAGTTGAATCAGCGGGTCTTTTGATACGGCAATACATACAAGTATCTGACAAAATTATCTGGAACAGCAATGGCGTTTACATTGAAGGCTGCCAGGAGATCCATTCCAATGAACATGGAATCGCGAGGGTCGACGGAGTAGTAGATCGCGCCCACGGCGCCTTGGTTATTGTATAACATTGCTCCATTGCAAGGGTCACCATTGCTCGAGAGGGAACTACGACGAGTCAGATAATATGCGCAAGTTGTGATATAACTTACCAAACAACGCAATGGAGCACAATGTCGGTGAGATTGCTGTGTATGGAGTCAGGCTATTTACCTCTCTTCAAGGTAAGGATCGAAGAACGAATAAGTATTGGGTCGGGCTGCTCTGTACAATTAAGTCGATATCCTTCGGACCGATATAGAAGGGAATTAGCAGGTAAGGTTAATAACTTAATCCGCGCAAATACAAGTAAGTACCAAGTAAGGCCGTTCTACGTATGCAAAAGAAGTTAACACGGCTCGTTATGCATAGGATGGGAATTGTACATACGACTCTGGTTACACTGTCTACTAGGACGGAAACATCGACAGTGATAATAGACTTGCAGCTAGAAGAATGCGTGTGTTGTGCTTGACTGGCTTCTCCGCCATGTCTATACGAAACAGAATCAAGAAGACTGAGAGCAACGTGCAACATGCATTGTCCATGAAGGGACGGAGGTACTCACATGTTCCAATGTAATCAAGCAGAGACCTATATTTTGGAAGTGATAGGCGTGCGTGGTGAACTTGGGGTCAGCAGAACATAGTTATTCAGATCTCCTTTTTCACCTTATATATGTTCATTGACGCTTTATGTACATCAGGGCGTAGTTATCTAGAAATCTACATCCGTCTCACTGCACTCAAGTCAGTTGAGGGGTCAAATATTATTTAATCCACTCACAATTTTTTCGCTGCAACCGTGGACGTGTCACATTTTACAAACGCTCTGGAATATTCGGATACCCTGTGCTCAAAAAAATTGGTTTTTCCCTCCAAAGAAATCATCTCGACGAATTCAAACGGATTCACGGTGTTGTATACTTTCGAACCGTTCAGTGCGACTAGCAGTCGATCTGTAACAAACTTGATGTACTGGATCATCGCCATTGCACTAAGTCCGAGTATACTGTCGATCAAGGTGTCTATAAGATGTGTGAACAACCTGGTACGAGTGTAATTGCTGTTACGTACCACTCCAAAATTGCTGTTCAAGTTCTGATGCTTCGATGACAATTTGCGTCATGGTCGTCTCATCGAGTTTTTTTATAAGACAGGAGTACACATAGCACGCAAAATCAGTATGCAATCCTTCATCTCGAGCAATGAGCTCGTTAGAGAACGTTAACCCTGGCATTAACCCTTTCTTTTTCAACCAGAAAATTGCCACGAAGGCTCCCGAAAAAAATATACCTTCGACGGCAGCGAAGGCAACTATCCGAGATACGAAGGGGGCATCGGAGGTAATCCAGCGCATGGCCCACTCTGCTTTTGAACGCACACATGGAATGGTAGTGATAGCATGAAATATGCGGGATTGTTCTTCATTATCAGGAATAAGGGTCGTAACCAACAAAGAGTAAACCTCCCAATGAACGTTCTCGATCATCGCCTGAAATTCGTAGTTGGCGGACGACGAAAAACCACACCCCACATCAAAGGCTCCGAACACTGACTGGAATGATCAATGGTCGCACGGTGAATCGCATCTCGAGCAGACTGAGTACAACGCATGCCATCTCTGCTTAGACACATATTCAGCCAATCTTGAGTCGTTGCCGATTTTGCTTCTTCAGAATGACCACCGTTGGATACCCATAAATGAGGACTACATATCCCACTAAAGGATGATGTTGCGTCAGCTATCAAACCAAAACACCATCTACGACAGCAGTATGTAGGCTGTATCTGCGTTCTATTATGATCAACGAGGAGATCAATAATATCTGTCACAGCGATCATCTCACGACCATGTCGAGGAAATAGACCAGGCGCAGCAGCGGATAACAAGTCTCTTATTTGATCGCGTAAAGCATTCATACCATCAGCGCTATGCCTGATATCCAGTAAATCAATCTCATCAAATTTTTTACACAGCGCGACATACAATCCTTCACGACAAGTAGCCCTGGAAGCAGCGACGTATGCCGCAAATCCTCCTTCGTTCATATAAGCAAGAACACTGGACATGGTCTGACCTTGAGCGACCTGTCCTGTACAAGCAAAGCCCGCTTGGAAAGGCATCTGTTCTCTGGTCACAGATACGCTTACAGGTTCCCCTTCGCTATTCCTTATTTCATGACGAAACGTCCATGAAACGGGCGCAATCGGAAAACAGCATGGAGGCAGTCCTTCTAAATGAACGTCTGAGCCCGGAAATTCTACAACAGCATATCTTGCGTACGTGAAACCATAGTCATCTAAATCAGTTTGCAAAAATCGCAAAAAGCCTTGAGCCCCATTTGTTATCTTCAGATCAGTCGAAATATTGCACGAGCACAAGATCACCGGCATCCCGATATAATAAGCTAACCAACCATGAAGGCCACCGTTGCTAATAACTTTCGAAACGTCTCGATCAAGTAAATCACCACGGTTAGCCTCGGGAACCAATCGCCCACCTATTTTATCTAACGCACAACAGGTCACTACGTCTTCTGGCTTACAGTTACTAATTGCCTTGTACGAATTAATCGAATAGCGTAATAAGTTGGTCCGTACAACTGCCACCGCTTCAACACCATTCATATCAACTCCGCAGGGATACAGTTATTTACCGGTCATTGGAACGCCGAAAAATATTTTTTGTCTCATCCACCACACATCGTCTTTTTCCTCAAATAAAGTAGCCACAAAATTTTTAATATTACTCAGTGATGTCAATACAAAGTATGAACTGGATCAAAGCATCTAGTATTGAGATATTCTTAATTTACGGTGTTTCATTGACTGGTAAATGACCACATGGCAAACCCCTGCCAAATTTGCATCACTGTTCGATTTTTCACGGGGTCAGCAGTAGCGCTAAAATTCCCAAAAAATCACTAAAAATCTATAACATCTATGTCTCCGATTATACAACACTGTCAGGCAGCGGAACTGGGGAGAAGGAGGCTAAATCAACTGTTTCAGTGACTGATGGTGTTGCAATGACCTGTCAATAACTGTAATTGAATGTTTTAATAACTCGTTCATTGAACAACGCAACATCCTCTGGAATGCACTTTCTCAGCCGTAGCTGTCGAACAGCAGCCGCATACTCAGGATCTTGCTCCATACGTTTCTGACAATGTAAATAAACGACGTCCGTTATCGAATTCCAGTCCAGTCTTCCCAGTCGCTTACTGAGATTTTTTGCGTCTATAGGGGTGCGTTCTTTAATATGAGAATATACAGCGCAACCTTTCACAGGAGGGAACTGATAAAGATCATCAGTGAATATCACCATCATTCCTCCAAACCACCATTGCCTTATATTCTTTTCATATCTGCAGCCAGCCTCTACATCAGGCAATAATTCCTGTTGCAAAAGGGAAACTTCATCAATAACGAGTACATCGACATCTTTAAAATTTGTCTCGAGACGTCTATGACTGAGATCGGATAAGGTGGTCTTAAAATGCTCCTTACCATCAATGGACTGCATGGAATGTCTCGAGGACTTTTCGCATATACTAATTCCAAATGCCTTATGGATGGTCATTCCATCATTCAAAGCTGCCGCCGAACCAGTGGGAGCAAGAAATCTAATTGCATGGGACGATCCAAATGCTTGCATTACTGCCATTAGAGCCTTAATAACGTGAGTCTTTCCTGTTCCCCCTGGACCGGTTAAAAACATCCTGAGAGGGAAAGGCTCTTCCAGCATGTCCATGTCAACATTGATAAAAGTCTTTCATAAAATGAACGTCTTAGCCATGATCATAAACACAATCTCTTGCTCCATATTCAATTTAAATTTATTGCAAACCCGGCACAGCAGGACACCAACATCTTCCACGTTAGCCACATTAACCGTTGTAGGGTGAATCGCACCTGCGGAGCATTGGGATGCTTCGATGGAGGAACTATATTCTGACACGTCTGTGATCGTTGCCTGTGGCAACGATCTGTCATCTGCATTAACTTGCTGCGAGCCATCGGCGGCATTCAACCGCACTGAGGATACTATCTCTTCGTGAGCATGTATCTGTGCCCACCATCGAGTCATCAAAACACTTGTAATTCTTAGATCGGCAAACGGTGTCACTTCCGCTTGTCGGGTATCATGCACTCGTCGAAACCAATTACTTTCGGCGAGGTGGAGGATTTCAAACTGGGCCTTGCTTTCCTGCTGCTGAGCTTTCCCTTGAGCTGGCAGTTCAACCAAATCTTCCAAGTTGTCGGACATAATATGATTTAGTAATTGGGAAGTCTTCATCACCGATCTTCTTTTCTTCATCCTTTTGGAATCACGCTCATCTTCGCACTCATATAGGGCTTCCCAATTGCTCATGCATCTCCGACCTTGTGGGGAAAAAGGGAACAATTCAAATTCACTATGGATGGAGCGACCAGGAGGTATCAACGGAACCACGATATCGAAAGGTTTGAAGTGCGCAAGCATGAACCGTTCATAACACGGATCACCTAAACGGGGAATCTTATGTGCAATAACTCGAGGAACAGTCTTCGTCATGAACCTGGCTTGTGTAGTAGAGGTATGTTCCATTATCTCATGTGTTTCAAACAACGCATATCCAGGGCGGAAAGGAAACCGAGGAAGCTTATCAATTCGATCAGTTACAGTGTAATCCATAAGTTCCACGTCATCTTTGTTCCCTTTGATTACAACGCTGAAACAGTGCACAAATTCGTAGAAAGAGATTTCTCTAAGTGCTACACAGCGATTCATATAATCTTCAACTTGATTGCGTCGAAGCATATGACCTTTGTCATTGACCTGTACAGTCATATAGGACGGCTCGACTTCTGGAATGTCATCCTCACGTTCGTAAGGCCACGTCTTTTGTATAAACTCCATAAGAAGACCAGACATCATAGGAACTGTCCTGTGCGAACAAAATACTTCACGTTGACCTCTTATGACCTTAGCCGCATGTTGCGCATGCACTTGCTGCTGACTGGCATACTGAGCAAGACACTTGTGCAAGATAATCCGAGCCTCTACACGGTCGCCTTCACCTGCATTCACATTGGCCTTCATAACGGCGTCCGCCATAAGGGATAACATCTCATATGTCTTGACGCTCATTTTGGTGATGTAGTCAGTGATATAAAACATTGCCGCCTTGCACGATTTTCCCGACAAGATACATTGCATATCATGATTATGCCTACAGAACATGAGAATAAACTCATTGAAGTAGTTAACAAAGATGTCTCGACATGCCAAAGTTACTGATTTTCTCTCCTTATCATAGAAAGAGTGAGCAGCGTATTCGTGAGGAAACTGAAAACGGCACGTAGCATGATCGTATTTATAACAAACGTGTTCATGGTTATGACACTGCAGTAGCTCCCCGCAATACTTCACTTCTTCCTGGAAACGCCGCTTAAAATCTTCTATCTCAAGACACGAACCTGTATCAGGATCTGGAACAGGTGGAGGACGTTCCGTTTTGGGTTTTCCTTTCCGATCAAAATACACATCATTTGGCAGCTCGTGCTTAATGATGTCTTCATAGAACGCGAAGAATTGATCCTGGAATGCCTCTGTCTCTTCTAGACGTCGGTGTATATCTGAAGGATTTAAACCTCCGAGAAGAGTGATCAGATAATGTACATGGTACGAGCCTCGATCTGTCAATTCATTTGTTCCATAGAAAGCCTTCAGGTGTCCTAAAATACCCCCCTTGACAGACGAACGCTTGCGAGCGAAATCCCATCCAAATAGATATTCCATCATCGTCTTACAAGAAAAGTTAAAGAAATCCAGCGCCGCCACCGGATCATCCGCCAGACATACACAGCGCCATACATAATCCACCATTCGAGGGAAATGCTCATCCAAATTGACAGTAGTGTCTCCACACATCACCTGAAAAATAGGACTGTTTTGCGGAGAAGGATTGGCGGTAAAGTACACATGGGGAATATTAAAGTGAGCACAATAAGCCTTGATTTCATTTCTATACGTTAATTTCGACGCCTCCGAACCGGTGATCTTTGCGGAAATAGTTCTGACCTTAGATAATAGCGTAAAGACTTTCCTTTCCTCTGCAGTCAAATCCGAAACACGTTCCTCCTCTTCCAGATGACGAGATACAGAATGCAAGATCTGCGGAGTAACCCCCTCAATATCCACGGCAGTCGTTGCAAAATTACTCGATTTTACAGCAAGATGAGTATGCAAATGCGCTTGACGACGTTGTATCATATTCATAGCAACAAATAGAAACGAGTTATGATGACGAAACTCACAATTCGATAAATCCAAATACAAATTCGCTTGGCCGTGAAAGCTCAGAGGGACAAGTCGATCCGGATCTTCAAAACCACCTTGCCCATAGGGAAACAATGTAGGAAACATTCCCATCATCAACAAATGATTGTTATATTCGCCAACAGCATCCTCACCGCTGAACGCAATGAGATCCGGTCTGTTATTCGCCGGTCTTATCAAATTTTTTAGCGCGGACGACTGAAACATACGACCTTGAATTTTGACGGACTCGACATCAGATACACCCATTCTCTCAAGCAAAGGTTCGTTTCCTACATCAGACTCAACCTCCAAGATCTCATTATTAGAAGCGAAATGTGGCTCGAAGCCTGCTGTCTCCTCTTGAAACATATCTTCCGGATTGTCTACTTCGAAGTTGGTAACCCTCGCTTCCAATCCTGGTATCTCATCGTTCACATACAGTGCAAGCTGTTCCTTGGATAGCTGAATTTTCGCATACATAGGATTGTTATCTGCAAGCCAGCAAAGAAGATCCCATACTTTATCCTTCCATATGTAATTAAATTTTTTGAGACATGATTTAACGGACTGATTGGGACCCACGAAGACTATACTCAGCATCCCCTTTATATCAGCAGGAGGTCGAGGAAGCTCAGATGCTGTAGAAACATAATTTAAATCATGAGCGCACATATTTCCTTTAAATATTCTCGGCTGATCTTTATTGGGTGAATAGTACAAATGAGTTACATGACATGTACAACGATAGATTGCACAAGCCATTTCTTCGATCCAAGTCAAGTCCCTAAAACGATCCGGCAAACGACCTCGATATAGACCATTGTGCCACGAAAACATGGGAAGATGATTACTACAAAGAGACAACTCACATAATGTACAGACATGAAGTACTCCATCAGTATAACCTTGAGGGTCGAGCATATAACCAGAAAGTAAAAGGTGGTTAATAACATCCCTCTCATCCCTACGATCTGACTCAGATACAACAAGCATTTGAAAACGCAAAGCTTTTACTATCGCAGGGATATCACATTCGTTATAATGATTCATTCGTAGAACGTTACCATGATCAAGCTCCCTAGCACAGACCACACAAGTAAAAACCTTAGGCCATTTGGTTCCCTGAATATAACGATACACGCAGTCTAGTTTTGTTTTCAGAGGCACAACCTGTGGCCATTGTGCAGAAACACCTTCAAAGAATTCAGCCAGCGTCTTGTCACTACAATCCCGTGCCAATCGACGGACAGTCTGATGCACCACCCTGCGGTGACGATCACGAATGGGAGGAATCACAATATTACAGATAGACGACCTGAACTCTCGTTCCATCACCGTAAGGGGCGCAAATGTACTCTTGAGTTCAACCGTCGAATCATAACAGTTCAAAATATCGCCAACTGCAGCGGAAGGCAAAGAAATCAACTGCTTCCACCTATCCGTCATTCCAACTCGCAATGCCTCCAGACGCCGATTTCGCATATCAGATGGATGTCCACTTCTGCGTGAGTAATGCAAGCAAGTCTGATAATCAGATAACATAGCATTGGTAAGAGCATGAACATGACCATGGAAAGTCTTATAATCAAGTTCAGGATTAATGCCTTGCAATAGACGATTACCATACATAGCAGGACATGTAAATCTGTGCGCCCGAGGTCATATAATCTTAGGAAATAATGTGTTTCCAAACTTACGGCGGAAAAGCTCGAAGATCATATAACGACGACCATTAAAAACCGGAATATCTCCAATTGAAAATTTAAGACACATAGCGTACAGCTCATAATCTTCCATCAGACGAAGACGCTCCGAAAAAGCACAAAACATCCCAGTCAGGCAAGCAATCGCATCATTGCGAGTTCGAGTCTTCCGTGTGTACCCCGTAACAGCATTCATCGACCTCAAAGTAATGCCGTCAAACGCATCTGCCAAGTCCAGCTCCGAAGTGTAAACCCAGGAAGGATTACAACCCCTTTCATCATCTCCATGACATCGCTGAAAGTTCCGAGGATGAAAGGAGGAACGTTCGATATCGGCTGAAGACAACCGGAGACATAAATCAATGGACACATCCTCAATAAAAAAGATGCCATTGGAAAACTCGACATGGATGTCAGGCCAGAGACTTTCAGATTTAAAACTGTCAGCAAGCCATTCACATATAGCAACCGGAGACTGGAACATCGTCTCATGAAGCTCAGGATGATACAGAGGATCATAGTAAACGGGAAAATCAGCAACCGAATATTCCGAACCGTCATTCGGAGGACAATACTCACAATCAATAACTCGAGTAACAGTACAGGGACGTTTGAAAAGCGAAAAATTCATAGTTATATTTTATATGCTTCTGCTGAGCGGCAAGGCACAAAGCCAACGATTTTGGTACGCAGAGCGTAGCCGTTGAACGGCGTAGTAGTCGAACACGTAAAGTGCAGCTACCAAGATAAGACAACACACTGGGACCGTCTCAAACGTCCATTAACTCATGCATAAGGAAAGAGATAAAACACACCAGTAGAACGGTTCCGATATACGACGATGTCCAGTGAAGGAGGACAGATGAAATAACTGAACATCAAACGCGAATGAGAAAAAAAAACCAAAGGAGGACGAAACGAAAATGCGCGCACAAGCGTTCGCTCTCCAGTAACTAACCAACAAATTATTAGACGTAGGTACAGTTTTCCTATAAGCTCATGCTGTCAGGCATACCGACAGGATAATCAAACGAAGTCAACACTCACCCAAGACGTCAAGCAAACAGTATGGAGACGAATGAAGCGAGGAAAGGTGGCAAAATATGAGACAATGGCACCATGCCATCTCAGACCGATTGACATCACCACTCGCAAATGAGTCATCGGAACAAGACGGTACATCACATGAACATGCACCTTCCGCAAGAAAGTGATAAAACTGTTATCATATCTAATCTAATCCAAAAAGATATTTTTAAGTAGATGAAACCTTCCAAATGAGGAAAGAGAGCCAGGTAGAGAAGCCCCTGTACATGGTCCGTGGCTGGTCGATCATTCAGAGCTCCCTTTCAGACCCTCTGTCGTTTCACTCCTTATCAGTCGGAAAGAATCGGGGAAAATAGAGGTAAAACTGTAATAAACCCTAAAGGAGGGGACATACCTGCTGCAACAACCTTCATCACCAATATGTCAGAGGTGCATGAGTGCACATAAATGGCCCTCAAAAAGGTGGCAGATGCTATGAAGCACACCTATGACCAGCAGCATCAGACAGTGATACCATACCAAATTGGTGATGATGTTTGGCTGGATATTCGAAACCTACATCTTCTCCAACCAAAGAAGAAGCTTGATGACAAATGGGTGGGGTCTTTCAAAATAGTCACAAAACATAGGCCATCCATGTACGAACTACAGTTATCGACAGCCTGGAAGATTCACAACCATTTTAACAAAGCTCTCCTATCCCCTTATCACACTCCCCAATTCCTAAATCAACAACAACTGTCACCCCCATTCCCAGAACTCATGGATGGAGAAGAGGAGTATGAGATTGAGGAAATCATAGATGACCAGGAGGGATGGACCGGTAGAGGATGGAGATGACAGAGAGTCACAGATTACCTCATAAAGTGGAAAGGATATGGAGGAGAAGAAAACTCCTGAGTAACAAGAGCACACTTGGCAAACATGGAAGACCTCATCCTCGAATATGAATCCCATCTAAACCAAATTGTTACAGTCCCAGAAGAAGAATGGCCAAATGACTGGGACAACAGGTCTGACATGGACTCAATCAGGATGACTGAGTCTTAGTGAGAGGGTAATGTTACGATTTTCCTATTTCTTCTTGCTTCTTTTTCATCAGACTCTATTGACCCAAGTCCTCGTAGTCATACCTTATGCCATAACTATTAGTCAGGACCTTCTATTCAGACTAACCATGCCTCATGGACACCTTCTTACCCCTTTGTCTTATTGTCTAGTAAAGCCCATTGTAGTTCTATCTTTAGATACCTCTCTCGTATTTAAGCAGCCTATGCTGAGGCCTTAAGCCCCAGCTTTGCAGCTACCAGACTCTACACTTCTCAAAAACAGGACATCTTATGAACAGCTTTACTCAAAGAAACAGGACTTATCACACTTGTGTGTATGGGAGTGCCAATGCTAAATCACAATACCCAAGGAAAAGCAGAAGAAAGATAGACAAAAGATGTTTGACAAGGTTACTGATAATCCTAACAGTGTAGATTCTAGGCCTACTTGAACTTCTTGACCTACTGAAAAAGGACTGGCTTGGGAAAAACACATTGCTGATACTGAAGAGAAGCTTCAAAACACTGTCAGATAGCTGGTGTGAAAGGAGCCACAGACATCTCTGCTCTAATTGTGTTACATCAAATGGATCCTCTGGATAAATATTTCTCCCTAAGCTCACTTGATTCTCTAGTGGTGACATCATATCCTACTGTTTTTCTGGCACAGTCATTTTCTTATAGATCTTTCACTCTGTGTATATGGGACTTAACCAAGCCACCAGTGAAGAGGCTGGCTGTGGGCACCTGTGGAATAGTGAGCAGGCTAAAAGGCAAACATCACAATCTACACACATACTCACACAAATTACATAAAATACAATCACCCTTATAAGTTCTGAAGGGAGCAATTATTTTTAATGCGACCCAATAATACTTCAAATCAAGTAGAATGTCTTTATATGCTCAACACTCTTAGCAAAACTAAGCTTTCTGAAATGAATTCCTAAGTTTAGGAACTTTTACAGGAAGGGACAGGAAGGGAGTTCACTGGTGCAATGCAACCTTCAAGGCAGATTCAAGTTATTATACACAAGGGACACTGATCCCAACAGAAACAGAGACAATATACATTGCAACTTTAATAAGCTCACTAAAAGAACCACACAGGTATTACAGTTTTACCCCTATTATCCTTATCTTATCTTATCCTTATCCCTCGGAACCCCGGACCTGCCTATCTTATCTCTCGGACCCATAATATTCCATTGGCACACTCCTTACCCGTTTACCCGGTTGCTGTCACCCCAGTTCACAGCTGCCGCATCCCAGATGACCGACAAGCCGTATGCATCATCATGCTTCTCTTGATGGCATCATGCTTCTTAGTAGTTGGACAGGAGTCAACCGCTAGTCGAGGGTGGTCTATGGGATACAGCCTATTCAGACGGAGTCCCGCACAGATACAGGTGACATGTGCTCTTTACTCTTATTCATCGGGAGTGCACTTCTTTTAGTGTCCTCACTTCTCATTCATTGAAAGGTGCACCTCTCGCTGCACATGCCCTTGTAGATACTATTATTAGTACGAGTCTAACATGTATTTAAGCTAGCCTATGCTGTGGCCTTAGACCCCAGCTTCGGCTAAGGTTATATACTCCTAACTCTTACAAGCTCCTTGCTTTCGCTATAAGTGACGCCTAACTTCTCACAATCTACCAATGCCTCTCTAATACTGAATCACTGAATGCGAGTGACAGGATAGAGATCAGCCTTGTGTTATGGTTTATTCATTTTTCTTCGTTTTACTCAGCCTGATTACTCATATGCAATCCTCATGGACAGTTTCTCACAGTACTATTATTAGACTACTCCAAGTGTATTTAAATAGTGCCTTCGCTGGCTTAAACCCCAGCTTCAGCTAAGGTTTAATCTACCCAACTCGAACTCCTTGTTTCACGTCTATCTAAGTCCTCGATCAACTTCGACAATCTCCTTTGACCTCTAAGAGCATCGTCCACTGAAGTGTGAGTGGCGATCCTTAGTTGATCCAAGTTGATTATAGTTGGTTGTTGACATTTAGCCAAAGCTTGTCCAACGTTGCCTAGCATCATGGAGAACGAATGCTACCCAATGACTTCTAAGAATTATACTCCCCAGCTAGACCGAAAGGTCACTAGGC